GCATGATGTCACACACTAGCATGAACGCACGACGGAACGAACTAACGAACGATTGAAAGAAAAAAAGAAAGAAAGAAAGAAAGAAAAAAGAAAGAAAGAGAGAGAGAGACCTCATCTGACCCCGCTTCCACAGGAATCTTGCAGCGCAGCTAACTGCGTAAACAGAACACCGTACCAACCCGTGCCAAACAGCCCCGGAAACTCGCCAACAACGAAATGCTGAACGAAAAAGCACACCACGAAAAATTGCGGCGAGACGGCACCAAACAGGTCGCTTCGGGGTTATACATAAACCAGCCGCGTTTTTTCCGCTGAGTTGAGCGAACCGGAAAGGGAAACGCACAAAAGAAGCACAGAATGCACACATCGCGAAAGCGAGCGAGAGAAAGATATTCGATGTTCTTGCAAAATCAGTTATTGCACTTCTTATCGCTCAATAAGAGTGTCCCTCATGCGGCCCGAGAGCGTACTAAGCATACTCGTAAATGAGGATAAAAAAGTGTAATTGCAGCAAGGGTAAAAAAAAAAACAAATCGTAATCATAACGCAAGACACTGAAAAAACGCAGGGAAAAAAAGAAGAGGAAAACAGAAACCTGTTCTTCTTCCGTTGTGCTGTCAAAACCAAACTCTCGGCGGTCAGCAACACGCGGAGGACGACGACGCAACTGAAGAGTTGTTCTCGAAGATATAGCTGCTGTTGCCTGGCTCGAAAAATAAAAACAAGAAAAAGGAGAAGTGAAGAGGAAGAATCAGGCTTGTGGTTCCCTCAGCGCGCAACTTTCGTTTATTCGTCTGCACACGACGACCGCGAACACGGCTCCGTCGCAACGCCTCCCCCCCCCCCTCCCCACCACCACCCCCACCCCCAACGAAGGGTGCACCGTGACAGAACCTCCGCTGCTTCCAGAGGAAAAAGCAGCCGTCTTCCGGCCGAATGACCTCACTGCCAGTCACAAGCAAACCCTGATTGCATAACCTCGAGCTTTTTATGTCTTGCATATCTGGCAACCTGCGGGGGACTGTTTACGCTTGGCGTACTTACGTACATGGAAGAAAGTGCTCGCTCTCATAACCTTGGGTGAACACACGGAGTTACAAAATGCATACAGAACTACATGGAATTGCGAATGAGTGGATCGATGAATTCGTTCATGTCGGTGGCACGCTGGACACTTGTTCGCCGCAAGGACAATGAGCAAACTGCAACAATACGCCGTAGTGTAGAGCTTCGTACAACGCAGTACACTAACGCAGTACACTAGCCTCTGCGCACCATCTTCATGCCCATCCCGCATTACACTAGGCTCTGCCGCTTTTCGTCTCCGCCGGAATCGGAGCTAATATCGAACCCACGGCTTTCGGGTCCGAACACTGCAACCACTGGGCCACCGAGGCGACTCTATCTAAAGCCATTACAACATAACGCTGATACAGAAGTCGGAACAAAATGTATTTCTGAATAAGGGGCAGTCAAGCACGGCTATACCTGCTGCAACCAAAGCGTTCGTAGTAAACCGAGACATGGAGAAAAGACGGTGGCAGCAAACGACGGGTAACATCCCCTCCTCCGACCCTCATTTCTTTTGTGGAAGGAAACAAAAAAAAAATCGAACAGCATTGAGCCACAGGCAGGATGATGCCGTATCACTCACTGCCATTAAGGAGAGGCTGCAGGCAAAGGAAAGTGCAGCCCCGGCGGCTACAGCCTCAGTAGACAGTCCGTGCGTGGACAGAGAGCGGGAAATTCCCCGCGAGAAGTAGGAGGAAATAAGGTCGATGAACGGACGGACCAGCCGGTCGTATACTTTTGCAAGCATCCTTTTTCGGACCCTCCGCCTTGTCCGTTCGTGCAGAACGATTAGGACAAAAAAGCGAGCATCACGATTTCGCAACGATTGCAAACACAGACAGTGGTAGTAGAGAGCGGAAAAACCCTGATCGCATGAGAGAACAATTACCAAAGGAAAGTGCTGAGACATGTTAGCTAGGTTAGGTTGAGAAGTTAACCGGCTGACGTGTACGCGAAATAAGGAGTTAGAAGGAGGAGGAGGAATAAACTTTATTATAAGAAACCAGCAGGTTCAGGTGGCCGGGCCTAAGCCTCCCACGGGGGGACGTCAAGGGGCTTGCCTCGACGCCGCCTCACGGGCGTGCTGAGTCGCCCAGGTTTGGTCGTAAAGAGCGGGGCTCCGCAGAGCCTCATGGAGCTTCGACGAAAGGGTCTTGGCGTTATTGCGTCTGTACTGCGCCGGAAGACAAAAGAAATTATATGCACTTCCCTTAAAAAAAGCTATACTGTACTCGGTTAGCTTCAGAAGCCTTCTTTATATATAAAATAAAAAAATAGAACCACCCCATGAGTGTCAGCGCGGCTCCGATGCGACTGCCCTCTTATAGCATTTGATGCAGAGCGCTCTTTGATCTGCGAGATTTCATCACGTCATTTTCCGCGGAGATTTCATCATGCCTGAAGGCGTATGTACGACTGAGAGAATACACTTCGGTGAGCCTTTTCAGACGTTTGTTACGCTTGCACCATTGTCTGTCTCCTCTTTGTGTCCGTCTTCATTAGCGTTGACTTGACTTTCTTTAAAGTGTACCCCAAAACCACGGCTAAACGAATACACGTAAATCTAGTCTGTTTGCTCGCTCAATGCACAATAAGTAGAACAAAAAAGAATTGCACGAGGTTCACGAGACAGTTGCATGGGGAAATCCGAAGGCGGGACCGAACGGAGACGACGATGGTTACACGCGCGAATGCGGCGGCGCATACGGGAGTCATAACGTCACCACACTTAACGAATCGCGGTAGACATATCGTGTACGTGTCACGTCAAAGGGTGTCGCACACGCAACTGCCACTGTGTGCGGCAGGCGCCAGGTCGTGTGCGCCGACTTCGGCAAGCCGCTCGATTAATGTGAACCGCGAAACGCATGCATCCCAATACTTTTTTGTATTTGTATCAAAAGCGCGCGGAAAGAGCGAGTGAACTAATTAAAAAGAATATTCTCGAAGAGCATTGGTTCACGAGCTTTTTTTCCTTTAGAAAAAATATTATTACGAATATGCCCCGTTTCGGTGGAGTCGGAAACAATAGAATCTCGAGCATATTGTGCGCGATGTAAAGTGCACGTTACACAGCACCAGATGGTCAAAACTTCCACAGCCCTTTGATACGGCATCCCTCATTATGAACATCGTGGTTTTTAGTACGTCGAAACTCCAAATATAAAAATAATATACAATGAATATGCCTGCTTTCCAGGTGACCTCTAGGGAAAAGCAAGCCTACTTACTACGCGGAGCAAGCTGCTCGAATTTATTCCTCCTTCATAAGAAAACACGCTTGAGCGAGCTCGGGCTGCTTATTTCTCTTATTCCTCGAATAAAAGTCTCGCTCATAAACTGAGCGACATATATGGAGATTACAATCAAATTACGGGTTTGACGAGAGACAGAGAAAACCACTATTAAATATAAACAAACTTCACCAATCCGGCTCCACTACTACTACTACTACTACTACTACTACTACTACTACTACTACTACTACTACTACTAATAATAATAATATAATAATAATAATAATAATAATAACAATAACAATAATAATAATAATAACGCAAAGCCTAGCGATCACACAGACCTAGTAGAAGTTTCAAATGTCCGAGTAGTGCCATCATGATGCCTGGGAAGGAGTCCCCCCAGCCCCTCCTCCAGTGTCTTAGGAAGTATGCGTTTGAGGCTCTCCTAGCACGAGGCAGCACGACCATCCCGATCACGAAACACGACTTCGGGTTCATTGGTTAACCGCCAACACTTACTTATCTGAGCATGCTTTGTGGTAGACTTACGAAACAATGAATCAAGTACAGGCCTCAGGCTAGAGCTTGCGAGGGATTATCGGTGAGGTACACCTTTGCATGAAGCAATCACGTGCCACGTGACGCCCTCTTTGTCACGAATGGCGCACTGCTTAACATTCCCGGGGATTACAAGTACGAAAATAATCAACCGAAGTGGACCGGGGACAGCACCTACCATCGCATAGCTCAAGTGGTAGAGCATCGGACGCGTAATTCCATGGTGTGTGGGTTCGGATCGCACCCTGCGGAACGTGCGATCTTTCGCCCACTTTAATTCGATTCATTTTACGTCACCATTACTTCACTGCAGCAACGGGCGTCGGCGGGGGGGGTGCAAAAAAAAAAATCTTGCCCCACCTTCAAGAAATACAGAATCCCCCCCCCCCCCCCCCTTTTGAAGCTACACCAGGACTTTCATTCCCGCACCACGATTCAAACCGGCTCTGCACCCCCAAAGACATAATCCTGACGACCCCTTCTGACTAAAGACCAGTTCTGACTACAGACAACAAGTGATGTCTACCGTACTTCGCACAGTAGTCCGTGTTTTTATTAATCTACGAAAAGAGCCCTCACGGAAAAAAAAAACAGCTTCTTTCGTTCAAGTAGTGTTTTACCACAGCCATTTCTTCCCCCAACGCACACTCGCACGCTCTGAAGAGCGGTGGTGGTGGTAGTGGTTAGAAGATGAGAAAAGGCACCTATTTTCTGCAACCCAGTCGGGAGCACGGCGCACACCAGGCGGCGACATCGCACCCTCCCAGCACCCAGTCTCACGGCACGTGCGCGCGAAAACCAGGAAGCACCACCGCCGCACTGCTTCGCAACAGGGACGACGACAACCGGAGTGTAGCGACAGAAAAAAGGGCAATGCACCAACCGCGAATAGAGCTGGACGATGGCTGTGCAACGGAGCGCGAGAGAAGCACCCTCCCGGAGCGGTCTAATACGCCCGCTGCGATGCGTGTCCGCCGCCCAGCGAGTGTACTGCACGTGTTTCGCAATAGAACGGCCGGACAACCAAGGGGTCACACGCATTGTTATAGATGTGCCGGCCGGCAGTCGGCGCACAACACGCGTCACACACTGATTGCGTAGCAGGAAGTATACTAGTGACGTGGTGCTTACCACACTTCCGGTGTCTCCGAGGTTTCTTATTGTTCCCGTCTTATGGCAGCGCCGTTCCTACGAAAAATAAGAAAGAGTCAGCAGGTAAGTCGACATGCAGAAGTAAGGCATCATTCAAAAAACAAACGAAGGAATTATTATAATCATTTTCGCAACTCGTGGTGTACTCCCGGAAAAAAAATTACGTAGCCCGCTACACCAACAAGAACGTCACAAACTCGATAATGGTACAATCAGTGAGCGTCACCAAGCTCTTTGCCTTGAATTGCAACAATGCGCAGCCCGTTCTTCACCAGAACCAGAAAACGCGTCCTTATAAGACGAACGTTCAGCCGCTCACCACAGCAATCGGAGGCCCGAAGAGGAAAGACGGTCACCGCGTCTTCTCATACCAAACGAGGCGCGTGATTCACGTGATCAGGTCTCAGTCACGCTTTGAGGTTTACATGAGGCGGACAGAGCTGGACCGTGGCTTTCGGAAAGGATCGGCCGAACGTATACAGTCGGAGCGCTCGATATTGACCAGCCAAACGTGACACCACTGACGCGCGTCGCCAGGTCGCTTCTGCAGCGCTCGAAAACGACCAATCGAATGTACCTTAAAACTGAAGACTGCGCATGCTGTTGCTCTGTTGCATACTTTCTTGCGTACAGCCAATTATAGAATATAGAGCACCGCTGGGACGCCGCTGGCGCAACGATTCGACTCGACAAGGGGGTCTTTCTTCGTGAGGGCCAAGAGAATTGACTCTGTCAGAGACCTGACTTAGTCGACAAGGTGGTTCCTGCTACATCTTTCATTCGATGACTCCTTATAACTGCGTACAAGCGTTATGACAACTTCAACTCCACTCATTGGAGCCCCCCCCCCCCCCCCCCACACACGCACAAAGAAAAAGCTTTGTAGACGCCGGCAATTCTATATTCGAGAACTCGAAATAGGCAACACCATTCCATCAGACCAAATTGAGAAAGTGAAGACGGACTGTATGTGTATCGAGACTGTGATGTGCGGAGCATCTGCCAATGAAAGGATACACCTGCTCCAGTGACCTCCGACTGGAAATTGGAAGGCATCACTCCATCTTATACAGGAAGTCCAGTTACGAGCGTGCCGGTGCCGTCACCTTGACATCCCGGCGTTTCAGCAACAACGTCGGCGGCACGGCCTTGGATGGATCGAAGGCCCGAGATCGCTCGGCCGCAGAACTCGCGCCAAACGGTTGGCGCACGCTTTACAACCGGTTGGCAACAATGTATCTCAAAGACTCGCTCGGAATGCCAACTTTTCCTTGTCGTAAGACCTGGAAAGCTGAACTATATAATAGTCCGTGTGGATTCGTCGTGAAAGAAAGTAAGGCGTAGAACCTTGGTTAAAAAGGAAACGTACAACCCAAAGCCGACCTCCTAATTATGATAATCATCATCACTCAAAGCCTACTTTGTCCGATACAGGAGGAAGGCCTTGCCCAATGATCTCCACTTTACCCTATCCTGCGCGAGCTGATCACTAGAAGGCCTTAACGGCAGAAAAAACGAGGAAAGGGTCGAACTCTTTCACTGAAACAAAATAAAAAAGGATCCCCTTGTCCGTCGCGGTAGAACAGAAGCAATGGTGCTCGGCTGGTGACCCGTAGGCCACGACGGTCGCACTTCGATAGAGACGAAATGGTGTAAGTGCGAGTAAAATAATCGTATCGTGGCTTTCGGACGTGAAACCCCAGATATTATTAAGAAATGACCGCTTTCTCTTGCTTACCGACAATAAATGCACACGCACGGTTACCCTTACCCCACGAGATATCCAAGCGCGGACGATCGCAAGATTTTTTTGTGGGGTTGGAAGCAATCCTTGAGCACAGAAAGACTTGAAACATAGTATACACTGATGAACTTGACGTGACTTTTACGATTTAAAAGCATCAAAAAATGAGGCATCTCTAGAGTTGGGGTGACGGTTGTAACGACAGCGACGATGCCGCCATGTCGGGGATGACTTAAATAAATACATAAGCGGAAGAGTGAATGAAAATATCTGATATAATAATAATAATAATAATAATAATAATAATAATAATAATAATAATAATAATAATAAAAAGTAAAAAAACGTATTATTATATTTTGTGCAGCGCGCTGCATTCAAAGTAATGCGTTTGGTTCACCCCACAATTACTTGGAGCGACCGCTCACCAACACAGCGATGTAACTGATAAAACAGTTTTACACAGGCTCTGGTTCAAACTCATCGCTGTAAAAAAAAAAAAACATACCTGGAGTACTTACTTGCCGACACCACGATGTGACTGTGAGGCATACCGTGGTGAAGGGCTCCAGAAATTTCAACGATCCGGAGTTTTTTTTTTTTTTTCAATACGATCACCGCGGCCATGGGGGTCGAACACGCGTCCTTGGCAAAAGCTCAGCGCCATAAAATGGCGCCGAAAACGCCGCCACTCGGCCGGGCACGCTAAACTAAGCATCTTTCAATGCTAACCAAAAGTATACCACCGAACAGCGTGGGATTCGCGCGCTCCTCGCCTGGGCCTTTCCCGCGCTCGACGCCGCCAACGCAATCGTATACACGGCAACAGCTGTAACAACGTTTGGCTCCGACGTAGGCTTGCAGTGCCAACGCGCCAGACGAAAAGGGAGACCTCACAAGGACACCAGCGGTGTTGCGAAACGAGGACGTACCAGCGCGCGTTAGAGATGCTTCAAATGCCGCATCGGTGTTATTAAGCGCGAAAAATTAATTCAATCAATCATCGGTATTCGTCTCGCACGAAGCAAGGAACAGATCATTTATATAGGCACGCATACTGGGCTCAGGTACCCGGCAAAATAATGCATATTATAATACTAGCGTAGATCGCTAGAGTGCATACAGTCTCCGATGATATAACTTAGAACGTCGTTCTTTCGTCAAAACTGTGGATAATAATAATTGATATCAACAGCAAACCAACACTACCTTCATATCGGTGGAGGAGACTGTACGCCCATCCGAACATTAGCATCTATTAGCCTATTTTGTTTCTTTCCCTTAGACGCGGAAAGATAAACGGGTATTCGCTCATGTGGGCCCACGTATGGTCCGTGTTTATCACGCGTTAAAGAACTAAAGAAATGAAATAACGACACAATGTCAGAAACGCGTCATATGATATTGTGTCGTTATTTTATATTCTGGTTCGGCAAAGTTTTCCGAACAAAAGTGACCCTATTCAGAATGTCAGAGCGTTAATGCATTCTCATGAAAGTTTAAAAAAAAAAACGCTAAAGTATTCGGCGAACAGAGAACGTGCATGTCAAGAAAACGTGCTCAGCAGTGAGCAAAACGCGTGAGCTCTAGCGCATACTTGCGCCATCTTCGAGAAATCGAATCTCGCCAGTGAGAATCACGAGGCGACTGGCGAAGAGGAAGAAGACAAAAACAAAGAAGAATGACAAAAGCCAAGAGGATAAAACAATCTCCCGAGGATGACGCGAGGCCCGTCTCCAGCGATATTCATGCGAGGCCAACGAAACAACAAGAATCGAACGCGCGGCTATAATTTCATCCGTGTCTCGACGATGGTGCGAGGCGCGCATTATTCGCAAATCGAACAACAGATTGCAGAGCGACGGAGGGAGTACCGCATATTTCGGTCTGCAGTCTTCGCATTCTACAGGCTACTTGTTTTATTCCGAATGCAACTGTCTGCGCCGCTAGAGCGTACAGCAGTGCTGGCCCATCAGCTTTCACACCGAAGAGCTCCGTCAAATTCATGAGCGACAGTCGACATTGATTAATAATTCATTCGGCATATAGGCTTTAACGGCACAAATTTAAAGTTGTCTACGGTGCGCCAGCCGCAAGGCAGTGGTTCTGGAGTTACGCAAAGAAAATATAATGGGCAAGACGTAGGGCTCCAAAAAGCAACTTAAGTTTTACGGGGATTAGGGGTACTAATTCGTGAAAACAATTTTCAGAATTCACGTATTTTATCAATCAATCAATCAATCAATCAACGACGAACTCCGCTGCCACGGACACTTGTAGCAGTCGTCGCCACGTGCAAGCAATTAGTGTCGCAGTCGAAGGAACCTAAATGAATTTTAATGTATTCACAACGAACGAAACACTGCCTGACAAAGGACAGTAAAGATTACTAATAAAAACAAAGGACAGTAAACATTACTATAAAAAACGATGTCAAGTATACGCAGTCATTAGCTTCCTAAACACAGGGCCACATAATTTCCACTCATTGTCAAAACAGACGAACAGACAGATGCGGACGTCTGCAGAGATCGGAACTGAATGAGGAGAACGCACGATGTAATTCGTTGGGTTCAGACATTATACGCTGTTTTTGCTTTTCAGAAACGATATCCAGAGAACACGACCCCTAATCAACCGTGATTGAGGGCGACACAGCGTCCGCTGCACGGCCCACGCGAACCATTCATGCAAGTTCATTCATGAAAGCGCACCGCACGTTCTGTTCAAGACAAAAAACAGGAACGGCACTACGCGATTTCGATTAACAGCTAGCATACCCGTTCTGCTTTAGTAAACCGTATAAGTATTTTGATAGTTACTGCCATAAATCAATTTACCAACGCTGCTCTGTATATGTTATCGAGGTATGTGCGCATGGAAGCAAGATGTAAAAGCAGTGTAGCTGTTAGAGTAGATGCGCGTACCACGCTAAATAATTAATATTATAGTAGGCGTCTCAGCTGAAGCCAACAAAGCTGTTATTTGATTAATAAATTATTACATTCGCTAACTGCACAATAAGTTCAGTAAGCACAACATGTGATGTTGTGAAAGAGAACAGATCAGTGAACACCTTACATGTACCATAACGGCACCAGCTTTCTTTTTAAATTATTTTTCTTCTTTAATTCTTGTTGAAGTTAGCTCGAACAACCCGTATTTGCTATAAATTACGCTTAACATTCATACGGGAGACTTCCGTCAGAACATACGCGTTTTTCCAATAACTGGTGCTCCCTCGATAGTGGGCTTGTCAGCCACAGGCCGTCCTTGATATGGCTACCTGATA